CTGTTATTCTCTGCATTCAGCCAATATCTAACTACCATTAGCAGTATTCCTTGTTTTAGATCCTCTTCTGAATCTGGCTAGTTTCTGGTATGTACTCTGCTCATGTACTGCTGCAACTACTTTTTAATTCTTTTTAAAATTTTACTTGAGTGTGATATTAATGATATTCTTCATTAATTTCCACCTTTTTCTGGGATGTCCAGGTAACTAATTGTCTTCCAAATTTCCTAGCACAGAAAAGCAAGTACGTTCAGCATTGCATCTGTTTGTTAAAATAGCTCAATTGGTAAAACAGCTCAATCTGTCAATCCCAGTTGTTGTTGCTATTTTTATGTGCCAGAACTGATTCAAAGCTAATCTTCCAGTGGGTTTTCAGATGCTGCAAATTGCAGAGGAGGATACTGGCCATCCTTCTCCTGGGAGAGGCTGGTGGATCTGAACCTCCTGCCTTTGGGTTGGCATTGCTACTCTTTATCAACTAGGCCACCAGGGTTCACTCACAGAAGATGTACAAGAAATTCTAACCAGATTCAGAAGAGGTGTAGAACAAGCTCCCTTTTGTCAATCCTAGAGCCTTGTTTTTCACTGCAGCTTCAGCAGAGTTTGAACGTCCTCCTTCAATGTCATTGAGTCCTGATTATATGACACTGACCTCTTGAAATGGTTAAGTAGACATGAATCAATTCTTTGTTTTACTTTTTTTATTGCTTCCATCTTCTTTCAATACTTCTTGCATCACTATATTGCCCATAAAATTTTTTCAACATTGCAACTTGAGGCTTGAATATTTTCTTCAGTTCTTTCAGCTTGAGAAATTCCAAGTGTGTTCTCCACTTCTAGTCTTCTAAGTCCAGGTCTTAGCACATTTAATTCTAATACTTTATATAGTCTTCTTGAGTTGTCCTTTGATATCTGTCCAGTTCTTTAACATCATCATTTTCTCCATGTTCAAAGGTAAGTGTCAGAGTCTCTTCTGACATCTATTTTTGTCTTTTCTTTCTTTCCTGACTATTTAATGATATTTTTGGATTTTTTTCCATGTAGGATGCCTTTGGTATCATCTCACAACTCTTACACTTTTTGGTTATTAATACTCAAGTTTGTTAAATCTATCCTTCAGGTGGTTTCTAAATTCAGGTGGGACATAATCAAGGTCATAGTTTGTCTCCTGTTTTCATTTTCTTCAGCTTTAACTTGAACTTGTATATTAATAATCAATGTACTATTCTGCGGCAGGCGTTTGGCTTTATTCTACTGATGATATTAAACTGCTTGATTTTTTTCCCCCACAGATGGACTTGATTTCATTTTGACAAGGTTTATGTGTATAGTCACCATATAGGTTGTTGGAAAAAATGTTATGTCCAGTAAATTTTGTCATTGACCTTGCAAAATTCTACCATGTGATAGATGTGTTTTTATCATGGAGGCTGTATTTTCCAACCAATGCTGCTTCTTCGTTTCCAACTTTCACATTCCAAACAACAGCAATCATCAATAAATATTCATTGTATATTTAATAAATTTCTGACTGCAAAAGTTGGTAAAAATCTTTCATTTCTTCATCTGAGGCATTAGTGGTTGATGGGTAAATTTGAATAGTCATGTTAACTGTCCTTGTAGGTAGATGGGTATTATCCTGTCATTGGCAGCATGTACTCCTGGATAGCACTATAACCAATTGATTGATGATTATGTAAATTGTTAATATTAGGGAAGCTAAAATAAGGGTATTTGAACTCTCTGCTAGATTTATAATCTTTCTCTTAATAAAAAATTATTTCACCCTTGAAACTATTATCCTGAGATAATCTCTAACTTTAAATAAAATATACTTCTGAAAGTCTTAAATAGTTTAAGTAGCAAAACTCTAGGCAGAAATCATGAAGATGGCAAAGGATAGGACAAGGTTCCTATAGGGTCATTATGAGTTGATAGCATCTAACAACAATAGGCATAAAAAGGATAATGACTCTCTTGAGCATATGCTCTTTTAAGAACTACATATATGGGATCAAAGTGACATTAGCAACTTGGGAGATTACATAGGGCCTTAGAGGGAAATTCATTCATGTTGTCCCTAGAAGACAACAACTCAGAAAAGGAGAACAGTTATATAACTCAGAGAACGTAATAAATGAATGGTACACATAGAAACTCTTAAATTGCTATGTATTTTACTGTGTATAGTCTCTGTAGTAACAAAGTAACAAAATGTTTTAAATTATCTCACAATAAAAAGCTACAAAAATCACTTGATTCTTTAAATTGGGGTACCTTAATAACTGCTCAAGACAAAATTGAATTTTACCGGCAGCACCTTAGAATAACCTCTTTTCTCTCTCACTCTTGTTCTTTTAAACACACACACACACACACACACACACACACACACACACACACACA